AAAAAAAAACAAAAACGTAAAACATTTGCAATGACAAAAGATGCTATACACAAAGGTAAACAGAGACAATACATGCAACACAAACTAGAAAAAGAATTCATATCCAAAATTTATAATGGTTTTTAAAAGATAAAATCAGTAAGATGAGAAGCAATGAAATATAAAATAACAAAGAATGATAACAAGAAATGTATAGAAGAAATGCAAATGGCCAAGAAAAAAATAGAAAGATTTCTTAATTTCTCCAATACGATCAGGGAAATGCAACAAGGCAAAAATGGAAAAAATTAAAGACTCATTTACCTATTGTTAGTAGAGAGAAAATAAATCCTCATACATTAGTGGGGCTTTTTTTGTTTTGTTTTGTTTTTGAGTTGGAGTCTCACTCTGTCACCCAGACTGGAGTGCAGTGGCCGCTCGCGGCCACCGCAGCCTTGACCTGCTGGGCTCCGGTGATCCTTCCGCCTCAGCTTTCCAAGTAGCTGGAACTACAGGCACGTGCTACCACGCCCGGCTAATTTTTTGATTTATTGTAGAGATGAGGTCTCACCAAGTTGCCCAGGCGGGTTTCGAACCTGCAGGCTCAGGCAGTCCACTCACCTCAGCTTCCCAAGGTGCGGGATTATAGGCTGAGCCACCGAGTCCGGCTACATTAGTAGTTTAAGTGTAAACTAGTATAGTCTTTTCTGAAGGAACATATAACAAATCTCAGGCACATGACCCTCTAAGTCAGTCACTCTGCTTCTGGAAATCAGTACCAAGAATTTTTATATAAAGTAAAAAGGTTGCTCACTGCAGAATGGTTTGTAATAGCCAAAAATTTTAAAAGCAAGGATCTGTTAAAAGGAGAATAATTTTAAAATAGCAATGGTAGTCTGTTTAATGAAACTCTATGCAGTTATTTAAAAGACTTAAACAGATCTATGTGTTATTATTATTTAATCCTCATGAGAATGAACAACCAAACCAATCTCAATTTGTTACATTTTAAATAGTCAATGAACTAAACATAATTTCTCCCAAGAGTTAAGGACAAGGGGAATGACAGAACATAGTAGTTACAAGTTAGAGCTTGGAAAGCACACTATCTAGGTTTAAATCCTGTCTCTGTCACTTACTCACTGTATAACCTAGGCCAATTACTTAACTCTTCTTATGCTTACATGTAAAATGGTACCTACTCCAAGCATGAATACCCTGAGTAGTATTTACACACTTAACAGAGTTCCTATCATATAGTAAATAAATGTATGCTATTATTATTACTATTTTCAAAAAAGTATATTAGGAGAGAGCAAAATGCCAGAGAATATCACTAGTCTTATACTTTTTAAACATGCAAAAATTTCCCAAGTCATACCTTTAATACCACACATGATGAGCTCTTATTGGTGTCTGTTATATGTTATTTATGACTAATGTGACTAACCAGCTTTATGCTCTACTCTAAGAAAAATGTACGATCTAGGAAAACTATGTCATAAAAAATATAAATTTTGTACCCCTCAAAAAAAAAAAAAGATGGGTAATTATACTTAATTATACTTAAGTGACTCGAAGATACCAAACTGCTAGAGATAAGCCCTAGTTACAGATGTCAATAAAGAGCAAAACAAACAATATTATCTAAAATAAAATGATTAAAGGCAACAAGGAAAAGTAAAATTGAAGAAGCAGGATACCAAAAGAGAATACATAGTTTTCCTTTATGTTGTTTTACCTAAGTGGTCCAAAAAACTTGACCAAGGATTCCCGAGTATCCACTTCAGCCACATTTGAGAGGGCAAAATCATAGAGTTCAGGGAAATGTGCAAAAGCAGCTCTCTAGAAAAGAACAGCAACAAATATCAATAATTAATAACTACATATGAACACAACCTACAATTTAATTATTACATAATGAAAATAGTATTTTCTAAAAATATTGATGCATTTCTTATATATGTAATCTCTGCCTTATTCAGATAGGAGCATGTCATAAAATGGGAAAAAACTAGAACTATTCTAGCAGAAATATAAAAACAAAGAATCAGTGTTCAGTTTTTGATTTCTAAAATTGGATTTTGAATACATATGAAAATAGCCAGCCGGGCTTGGTGGCTCAGCCTGTAATCCCGCGCCTCTGGGAGGTTGAGGTGACTGGATTGCCTGAGCCCGTGGGTTCGAGACCCGCCTAGGCAGGTGAGACCTCATCTCTACAATAAATCAAAAAATTTGCCGGGCATGGTAGTGCATGCCTGTAATTCCGGCTACTCGGAAGGCTGAGGTGGAAGGATCACTGGAGCCTAGTAGGTCGAGGCTGCGGTGGCCGGGAGCGGCTACTGCACTCCAGTCTCGGTGACAGAGTGAGACTTCAACTCAAAAAAAAAAAAAAAGAAAAGAAAAGAAAATAGCCATGAAGGCCAGCTTCATTGATGAAGGGGAGAAAAAAACCAAACACACACTTTATTATCAAGAACTGGCCCAACGAGACAAGAAGAAAATCCCAAGGGAAATTCCCACCGGAGAGATAACTTAAGGGAGAGGCCGAAAACATATTATGCTTGTGTTCTGCTTTTGTTCAGAACTGGGAAGAGAGAACTTCACAGGATAACGCTCCCAACCAACATGGGGTAAGCTACAAGAAAACTGAATAGTAGCACTACAGTAATTTGATAACAGAGTGACTGAAATAACATCCCTAGTCTTCCTTGATGCCCATGTGGCACAGAAAAGGTCCAGAAGATTTTGGGTGCTCCACGCCAGGATGGATGAAACCAAAGGTTGCCAAGGTAGCTTTGGATGAGCTTGCCATGGGATTACTATAGACAATGGCAATAATCCTGCATCCCAGGTCTGAGAGTGAATTGCATAAGCCAGGGAATAAATGAGAGTCAGCCAGCTGAGGTGATAGCACCATCAAGAAGAAAGTTGGGGCCTCCTGAGCAGGGAAAATAGCCAAGTTCCTTGGGAGCAATCACTATGCCTTGCCTGTGCCAACAGACTACATGCCATAGCAGCTGTAGTCCTTCAAGTGCAGAGGCAGAGGAACAAAAACAATAATGCCCTGAGAAAAGCAGGAAGCCCTTCTTACAAAACAATGAGGCTATCTTAGTGTCTTCACATACCTAGATGCTGTTTTGGAAAAGGAGATCAGAGACTCTTAATGAGATAGCCAAATTGATTACAAGAGAGAGTTTGAACTTAAGTTTAACTGAGTCTTTGTCCCCCCAAAAGATTCTTTAAAATAGAAGGAACTGAATTACTTTACATCGATGAGTAAAAGCTTCCTTCTGCAAGCAGAAGAAGGAGCTCAAGAAGAAGATGAGATCAGTAATAAAAAACATACAAAGGTACTCTTGATGGCATGTATTGGTAAACTTCAGTCCCTTGTGTTTATCTTAAAAAGGTACAAAATGCTTTCACATACCTTGCCATATGTTGAAATACTCTTTCATTAAATAAAACTGGCAGCAGAGCTGATATTCAAATGTGCCAAACTGGCTTAGTCACTAATGTTTCTGAGTATCAAATACCAGGATATTGATTCACAGGACTTAAACAGAGTATGAAAGTAAGTCACTTTTTCATGAATCCATCAGATTTAGAAATATTAAAAATGTTAAAGTTAAAAACACCATTAAGAGCTTTTTCTATCTGTACCTATACAAAACCTAAATTATAGTGTGACTCAGCCTTATGGAGCAAATACAAAGGCTATCATGCATCTCAATTACCTGTAGAGAAGTGATTCTATCATAGTGAATTGTGGTCATCTCATTCTCTGTCAGAGCATTCCCAGTCTGATCATTAATTTCAAAGCCAGTATAGAACTTAAGCATCTCTAAAAGCTGAAATGATACACCAAAATTAGTAAACTATGTGAACATAACAGCAAGAAAGCACAACACTATTTACTAAAAATAATAAACAAGTCTATATGCCTTCTCAGAGGTGCTAAAAAACTAGAATATAAACATAAATTATTAAAAAGATTCCAGAACATACCTAATTAAACATGTCTCATTTATAGGAAAACAAAATATGTGAATAAATTGCTAAGTCTATTTCATATACATGGTCTACGTCTACAAAAAATAACTTAAACTTCAATTCCAGTACTTTAGGACGTAATCAAAAGAAGCCCAACAAACAGCCTACCTTATCTATCTACATCATTGCCAATTTATAAAATTACAGCACTAGAGGGAGCTCCTGAGGTCTCTTACTTAGAACTCTGAATGAGAATTTTGGAATTCGTAATTGAAGATACTCTTTTTTATATGCTGCTTCTATTAGGGAAAAACAGTAAAGTGAGGAAAGCTAAGTTATTCATTCCTCTTGTCAGTCTCCACAACCACTAAGCTCTTTCTTTGGTTTAGTTCCTACTGCTAATGAGCTTTCTTCTCCCTGTGGCAACAGCATCAATAGAGCCTACTGGCTATACTCATTCCAAATCTTTATCATCTTTGGTTCTAACCTATGGCCGATCAGACATTAGGATTTTAATAAGGCCGGATACAGTGGCTCACGTCTATAATCCCAGCACTTTGGGAGGCCGAGGTGAGAGGACTGCCTGAACCCATGGGTTTGAGATCAACCTGGGCAACTGACGAACCTCATCTCTATAATAAATCAAGAAAAATTAGCCAGGAGTGGTGGCGCATGTCTGTAGTTCCAGCTGTATGGAAGGCTGAGGCAGAAGGATCGCCTGAGCTCAGCAGTTTGAGGCTGCAGTGGGCATGAGCAAGCCACTGCACTCCAGCCTGGGCAAAAGAGTGAGACTCCAATTGGGGGAAAAAAAAGATTTTAAAATATGCGACCTATCACTAGATAGTAATTTTTAAAGAGAATGAAGAAAAGAGAAGTGCTCATGGATACAAGAACAAAGGGAAGATGTAAACACAAAAAAATTTTATCTCCAATTATGACCTCACTGAAAAGCATTAGAAGTTTGTTAGAAGATGTTTTCTTCTGCGTGACATAACAGGAAATGTGAAGTATAACACTATGTCTTCTTACTCAAGGCAACAAACTTAAGCGCACTTGCCTTCCTATCCAAGGCAGCATATACACTTCTATGCTATCAACTGTTTGTCACCATCATCTTATGGAAAGACATAGTTCATTTAAAAGGAATGCTCATCATCTACCATATTCCACAGTAGTTACTGACACAAAATCAAAATATATAAACAATTGAGACTACAGCCCCCAAATCATAATTTAGTCCAATAATAAAACCACATATAATAAACAAAAGGTTATAAGATATAGTTACTAGCACTCACTTATATAAAAATACATTCATTTTCTATAAGACTTTACTTTAAAATGACTAATTAGGAATTTACATTATTCAATTCAATATTTAGAAAAATTTACCTGGGTCATTCATGATATTCCCAATTGCATGGCAAAGAAAAATTTACAAATTAAAACACTAATTATGTTCAAATATATGATGTTCACCTGGGAAAAAAGATGGCCATCCTCCTCTCTATGAACAAGATTGGAAAGGTAACAGTGAACCAATAGGTGGGTGTCATCCAGGATGGTATTAAACCAGCGCCTTGTGGGTAGTAGGGCCTAGAAAAATAAACATCACAGCAATAAGTCCACATGCTAGAAGTGAAATCTCCCAATACTTATCTCAGAAGTATTTATCACATACAAAGTACCCTCCAGCCTTCCCAAGGACATACTGTGCACAATGCAAGAGATCTGGCTCACGCTGTAAATTAACTCAGTGGCAATGTTTTTGATTTAAAAATAATAACAATACTTAACAGAAACTTCAACATAATAAAAAAAAAGGGAGTACAAACCCTTAAGTGGGACTCTTGTCTTTGTGTCTCTTTTCACATTACCCTACTGACAGAAAGACAATGCTGAGAAACTCTGACTCTGTGTCAGTCTGAAAACCACCAATCTAATCAAATATCCTCATTTTTATAGATAAAGTAATTGAGATGTTCAGAAGTTATAAATTAGTTACTGGCAGAGCTAGAATTTGAATGAAGATCTCATGAATGACTGCCAGTCCAACACCTAATCAATACTAATACTGATTTCCAAAAACAAAAACAATAACAACAAAACACCCAACTTCTCCAGATAAGGAACAAACAGATTTTCTTTCAATTTCTCACATTAAGGAGAATTCAATCTAAACTTTCCATCAAACCCTGCACCTAAGAGTATAAAATCTTCTTAAGAATCTTAATTAAAAATTTTTTTAAAACAGCAGCTATATTTTTCTTTATCAACACTAAGTACATTTAGAAAAGGGAGACTATTTAAAGAGATGATCATAAACCCATGATTTCAACCATTACCAAAAACTATATGAAAGGGTATTAAAGTATGACAGAAAATAAATCCCCACAGCTGAACTCATTATCAAATAATGCTTTTTTCTTTTTCTTTTCTTTTCTATTTTGAGTTGGAGCCTCACTCTGTCACCCAGGCTGAAGTGCAGTGGCAAGTTCATGGCCACCGCAGCCTCGATCTGCTGGGCTGAGGCTATCCTGCCTCAGCCTTCCAACTAGCTGCAACTACAGGTGTGTACCACCATGCCTGGCTAATTTTTTGATTTATTGTAAAGAGGTCTCGCCAAGTTGCCCAGACTGGTCTTGAACCCATGAGCTCTCACCTCAGCCCCCTAAATTGCTAGGATTATAGGCGTGAGCCACCGCACCAGCCTTATGATGCTTTTTTCTGCCAACAGCAGTCTATCTAGATGGGTCAGTCATATAAAAACCTCAAGGGTCAATTACTTGTGACTTCCCTATGTGACACCTTGAAATAGGTACAAACTAAGGCCAGTTTGAAGTGTAAAGAAATATTTCATATATGATCATATGCTTAATCTTGACTCCTTAATGATTATATAACAGAAAAGTCATTGCAGATTTCTTACCTCTAGATCTATCATAAGTTCAATGAATCTTTCACAGTAATGAACTTTGTCCATAGTGACAGGTTCTAGACATAAGCGAGAAAACGTGTTAGAATTTTCTTACTAGGTCATTTTGCGTAGTTTCTTAAAATTGACAGTTATTTAATAATTTAAACAAAGTCATTTGTCTCTTATTCATCAGAAATGGGTTATGATTCAGAGCAAGAATTGCACATATAAAGTGTTAACTTTTCAAAACCTGTACTTAACAATTATATTTTGAAAAAGTTTAGATATTAAAAGCCAAAAAGCAGTTTTATATCAGTTTTTACTTCACTTTCCTTATTGTCTTCACATATAAATTTCTAAAAGTTCTCTCATATGCATAAATACATACACATATATGCATGCATATACAGAAATACAAGTATATCTGTCTTTAAAATGTATAGAAAACTAATTTGAGGGGCAATTTTTATGACTTTTTTCCATTGTACACATATCACTTTTGACATTAAAATGCCAATGACACATAGAACAATACAGATTTTTAAAATCTTCCACTATGGCCATAAGTATGAACAAGAAACTTTTTAAAAATCACTATCTTATTTTATGCTATTCATAAGCATAATGTACTATTTTTACAAATATTTTTGTTCTTAAATAATTACAACCTTGTGACATGAAATACGAAGGTTTTTTTTTTCTAATGCTAGGAAGTAGTCTACCATTTTACCAGTTAAAAACCATCCTGCCAAGACAATTTCTATTAAAACAAAGATAATTTTAGGGTCCCTGTTGTTGATTAGTTTAAGGACTCCCAACAGTGACTAACGCAGTGCCAAAATTATAGAAAGTATCCTATAAATGCTTAAATAAAAATCCATTTACTTATTTGTAGTATATCAGAAAAGAGAAAACTTTATGTGAAGAAAGACTTTTGTGACTGATATATAGAAGTATTAATTGGATCTTTTCCAGTTAACTATGCCCATAATCCAGACTCATAATAACAGAACTATATAACTTAATAGCTGGAAAAGACCTAAAATAACATTCTAGATCTTCATTTTCTGGGCGGAGAAATTGAGGATCAATGAAAATGACCTGATATAGGGCCTAGAACTAGACAACAGCTGGTTAGAACTAGAACTCAGGTTTGTTTAGATACACATATAGATGCTTTAAAATTAAAAAAAAATCAAAGGAGCAATTTGTAAATTAAAATCCATTCAAATCAGCCCTCTGTTGCTATCCTTTTGTTCTTGAAACTATCAAATGAAAATAACCGTCTCTCAAACTAAAAAAAGTGAGCAAACTCTGTATGCTATATCTTTATTTACATATTGAGAAACTTACTGGCAATGGCCTAGTTAAAATTAGAAAACAGAGCTGGGCACAGTGGCTCATGCCTATAATCCCAGTGCTTTGGAAGGTCGAGGCAGGAAGATCACCTGAGGCCAGGAATTTGAGACCAGCCTGGGCAACATAGCAACACTTTGTCGCTACAAAAAAATTTTAAAAATTAGCCAGGCATGTTGATGCGTGCCTGCAAATCCTAACTACTCAGTAGGCTGAAGTGGGAGGATTGCTTGATCCCAGGAGTTCAAGGTTACAGTGAGCTGTGATGGTGCTACTGTACTCCTGGGTGACAAAGCAGAATCCTATCTAATAAAAACAAAAAGGAAAAAGAAAGAAAAGAAAAAGAAAACAATGCCTGGTACTCAATTTCTGTGCTCTGGTGAACAGAGTTGTGTGTTCTTTATGTTAGTTGGCACTACTGGGCATATTGCTTGGTGTAGAAATCTTATTATTCTCATTTCAAACACAAATATAGCCTTATCATTTGTCTCTTAGGTTTATTGAAGGGTTTTTTCCTCCCCTTCTTCTGACAGCAATCCTAACAACTCTGACCATCCTATACAGATTTCCAACAATAATATGGCTATATTGTTTTTATGACCCTATAAAATTAAACTACCTTCTTAAACTCTTTTAAAAATTAACTTTCTGTTCACTATTTTCATCATCTTGCTAGCTCCTTTGCCAAAAAGTGGACAAAATTTGTCAAATTGTGATAAAAGCTCAAGATTAATCTAATAAACTTTGTTTTCTGACAATATATAAACAACAGTGGCAATAGCTAGTGGTTTGTAGGCTATTAAAATTGCTACAGGTCCTATGTTCCTGTTTTCTAAACCTACATGACCCTAATGAACATCTCATAGTTTAGAGACATGAATTTTTATGACCCTAGTTATTACAGACATTAGTAGTTCAAAGTACTCATTATTCCTATTTGTGCCAAGAAAACCAAATCTTAGTCCTCTTTCCAGGTTTAAGGCACTTAACAGAAAGATTTAAATATACTAATATTAAGCAACTTACATTAGAAACATATGACAACTTTTTTTTACTGATGCTGGTGGTAGTATTATGCCCCAAATCAAGGTCAGCAGATTTATAGCGTTAGTATCGATTACTCATTGAACTGTAGATATGGTTTTCAGTTGTAACATATTAGTTGGAGCGTCAGTATTTATAAGTAATTCCAGTGTATTTTACTTTCAATAAAGCTACAAACTCTAATACGAAAACTTAAATATGGTATACCTATATCATTAAACAGTGACATCTAACAAAACATACACATCTTTATTAAGTAAACAGTATTTCACTTGCATTCAAAAAATGCTTAAAAAGATCTTGCAAATTCAGCATAATTTCATTAATCCATCCCTCTAGGTAGACAAATATATAATACACACCTGTGTGTGTGTATAGCATACTAGTATATTTTATTACAGTATATACTCTATGTAGCATATACTGATATTTTTTTCATCAATAAATGGGGGCCAGGATAAAAGGAAATCCTTCCATTTAGTCTATAGCGCATATCTCAAAAAACAATGATCCTCTTCTGCTTCAAACAGTATCTGATGCCACTTAAAAACACTATCCAGTATCATATTATAAATAACATGCAGATAAGGTTTGTGATTTTTCTTGTTCACAACTGCAATACCGCACCTTGTACAGGACTTGGATCTAGTAATTAAGTGCAAAAAATATTTGCTAAATAAAATAACACTTCAGTAACTATGCTGGTGCCTTTAAAATAGTCCTTTAAGGCAAGCTCTGTACTTAGTAAACTTAGACTGGTTATATATTTGAAAATGAGAGAACACACTCTACCAATGCAATTTAAATTTTTTTTTTTTTCTTTTTGAGTCAGAGTCTCACTCTGTTGCCCAGGCTGGAGTGCAGTGGCACACTCATGGCCACTACAGCCTCAACCTACTGGGCTCAGGCAATCCTTCCGCTTCAGCCTTCCAAGTAGCCAGAACTAGAGGTGTACGCTACCACACCCAGCTATTAAAATGATTTCAAGATCAGTTTTTATACTAGGGATAAGTAAATACCATGGAGGCATCTATCTGATAATTTCACAAATGCACGAAGTATAGGAAGATAAGTTACCAGAAAGTGGGACTGATTTCAGCACAGAGATAAACTTCTGGATGAGCTGTGAAAGAAATCTTCTTTCTTGATAGGCCCTAAAAGTCGGAAAGAACATTGACCAAATTATTTTTGAAAAAGACGTACGTTAAAAGTAAATTTTGAACACTGACCAAACCTTTCTTACACTGTTCAAAAGTTCCATTTCTCTGAAATTGGAGCCATAATTTGAACACACAGTTTTTTTCTTTGCATGTAAATATAGTACTATATGAAGACAAAAGCCACATTAGTGGCAAATAAGCCAGCTAAGCAAGCACCTCCTTCTCTTACTGTAAAAGTCTTTACTTGTGATTTCACAGTCAGGACTAGAAAAGAGTTTACAAATTTTCATTTACAGTCCATCCCTAACATTAAAAACCTAACATTTAATGGAGATAAAATGAGATGAACAATTTGGTACATTAGTATACTTAAAGTTTTATGTATAACACAGTATTACAATGTTTACACATTACATGTCAGTTTAAAAACAATTTTCTACTCATAACCAATTTATGACATACCACTTAATCAACAAACATGTATCAGGTATTGAATAGTTATAAATGATTTTAGCAGAGCTGCTGGAAATACAAAGGAAAGGAATGACTAAAATCTACTTGAAATGACAAGTCATATAACATAAATATAATTAGTATCAGAAGCCAGTATGTAATTTATAAAACTTCCTAACACTACTTGAGCACTTATTGTGTTAGGCTGAGCTGTGCTAAGCACTTCATATCTTATTTAATATTGACAAGAGTCTTATGAAATGAGTACTACCATTCAAATTTCACAGTGAGGTTCAAAGAGGTAAAGTAACCTGCCCAAAGTCACACAGCAAGTGAGGATGAAAACAGCTAAGTCTGGCCGGGTTTGGGGGCTCAGCCTGTAATCCCGTGCCTTGGGAGGTCGAGGTGAGTGGACTGCCTGAGCCCGCAGGTTCGAGACCCGCCTGGGCAACTTGGCAAGACCTCATCTCTACAATAAGTCAAAAAATTAGCCGGGTGTGGTAGCACGCGCCTGTAGTTCCAGCTACTTGGAAGGCTGAGGCAAAAGGATTGCCAGAGCCCAGCAGGTCGAGGCTGCAGTGGCCAGGAGCAGCCACTGTACTCCAGTCTGGGCGACAGAGTGAGACTTCAACTCAAAAAAAAAAAAAAAAAAGGAAAAGAGTTAATTAAGTTTGACTGTAGAACTTATACTCTAAACCACTGTATGCATCCCAATCATTACATAAAAACAGCCATCATTTCAAAAAAGAAAAATCAGAGAGTGTATGTTCTAGGAGTTCAGATGAAAGCACTAGGGTCTAAAGAAGTTAGTCCAGAAGAGTGTTTTGATTATTGATATTCAATTAAACGGAGTGGAGAGGAAAGGGAATTAGGGAAAGAATATTTAAAAAACAATGATGCCAGGTGCGGTGGTTCACGCCTATAATCACAGCACTTTGGTTGGGAGGCCGAGGTGAGAGGACTGTCTGAGCCCATGAGTTCGAGACCTCATCTCTACAATAAACCAAAAAATTAGTTGGGCATGATGGCGCATGCCTATAGTTCCAGCTACTTGGAAGGCCGAGGCAGAAGGACTGCCTGAGATAGGAGGTCAAGGTTGCGGTGGCTGTGAGTGTGCACTGCACTCTAGCCTGAATGACAGAGTAAGATTCCAACTCAAAAAACAAAAAGCAATGACATGTAAGTTAGACCAGTTAGCCTCAAAGAGATAAAGGGAAACAAACTTCTGAGAGCATGCTGGTCCCTCCCCTCAGTTCTAATAGTTCTTTGTTTCATGAAATAAATACTAGCGGATCATAGACTTTCATCTAATTAATAATAAACAATACTACTAAAAATAACCCATAAAATCATAAAATAAAGATTATGACTAAAATTATGCACAGTACAATTTGTTGTTGACAAAAACATTAAATTTGTTAGAAATAATTAACCTATTTAAAAAAAAATCTTGAGTGGGCGTGGTGGCTCTCGCCTGTAATCCCAGCACTTTGGGACTTCTGACTCAGAAAAAATAAAATAAAAATTTTAAAAATAAAGTTTAAAAAAATCTTGATAATATCTAAAAAGCATATAATCAAAATGCACTAATCAAATATACAGAAAAAATTGCTGTCTTCCCCAACTGGAATGTAAGCTCCACAAATCAGGAAGTACTTTCTATTTTGCTGTCTGCTATATACTTATAACAGTACCTGGCAAAATAACAAACACTCAGCATTTGTTGAAAAAATGAATGATGACTACAATGTGTAAAAGGCATTGTTAAGAATGAAGAAGAAAAGAAAGTTGAATTAACAGCATGAATATTGGGGAGAAAACCGAGAACTATCCATGAGGGACAGATTATGGACATCAGGCAGGGAGAAGAATAGTAAGCAACTACATATGTACTTATCATTGGCACAGAGAAAAGGAAAAGAAGAAAAGCATGGTGATCCTCGGATGATGTAAGTAAAAGCAATTATTAATAACTTGGGCTCAGAACTACATAAAAGAAAGCAACAAACCAGTTGATATCATCTGAGACCCATAACCTGGTAAAATAAAACAACATAGGATGAAACTTTGCCAACATACTGTTCTCTTGCTTCTGGATCCATCTTCTCATCATTTTTTTTAATCAAGTTCCAGAATTTTCTTAGCTTAGGTGTCTTCTTTAATTCTAATTCCAATCGCGCCTGAAGGAGAGAAGTGATATTAAATTACAAGTAACCTTAAAGCTTGTGAGAATAAGGAACAGATAAACTATTAGCTAGTTTTCTAATATACGAATACAATATAGAACAATGTAATAAAAACTGAAAGCAACCTGACAAACACTGAAAATTAAGAATAATTATTAAATAGTAAAATTTATTGAATATGAAAATTATTCAATTCTAATGCATGTTAATAAAAACATGAGAGAAATTGTCTTTCTAATCAAGATTTTAAGCTCAATAATTAAATTTTTTATTTCTAAAATTAAGTATCTATGTCTGAAAAAAGTATTACTTTTTTTTTTTTTTTTTTTTT